ATGAAGATTTAGGTCAGGTTAATTATGTGTTCACCGATAAGACTGGCACTTTGACTGAAAATATTATGTTATTCAGACAATTGAGTGTTTGTGGTCAAAAATTTTTACATGTTAAAGATGGTAATAGAATCGACACTGATGAATTGTTAAAAATGTTATCTATGTCTTCACCAAGATCAAAAAAATTGCTTACAGTAGCTTCGATTTTATCTTCAAAACAACGAAAGAATAATACCGATGATCTTAATGATGATATAATACCAACTGCTTCAGTAACTCGTCAAAATTCTGTAACCAGCGCAAATTTTTCTATGATTGCACCAAGGCCTATATCTCCGTCATCGTATTCTTCGAAATCTAAGATATCTAAGAAAGTATTAGGATGTCAATCAATCATGAGCACTCTTGATTTATTGACTTTAATACATTATCTACCAAATAATCCTTTCGAACAACGTGCTAAATTTTTCTTGCTTGCCATGTCTCTATGTCACACGTGTGTACCGGAAGTTGACAAAGAAACTGGTGACATAATTTATCAGGCTTCTTCACCTGACGAATTTGCTATTGCTAATACTGCTAAAGATTTGGGTTATACCATCACGGATCGTTCTATGGGAAAAGTTTCACTTAGGATAAATGATCTTATGCCTAATATACCTGATGAAAACATTGTTTTAAATCAAGATTTTCAAATATTAAATATATTAGAATTTTCAAGTAAACGCAAGAGAATGTCTGTAATATGTAGGCTTCCCGATGGTAGAATATGTTTGTTCTGTAAAGGTGCTGATTCTGTTATTTTGGATCGATTGCGAGTTGCTAATGAGAAGGATGCGATTGACCAAAAGTTTGATAATGACATTGACTCTGGAAATCCTGTTGATAATATTAATAATCACATGGAGGATAATGATCCTTCTCAAAAACAAAAATTACGTATTAATACTAATCTTGATATGACACGTATATTAAATGATGATAAAACTGATTCTCCTTCATCGATAAGAACATATGAATCGGATGACAATTGGATATGTCAACAGACAATGCGACATCTCCATGAATTCGCAATTGAAGGGCTTCGAACTTTATTATATGCACACCGTTATATTGAAGAAGAAGAGTATATACCATGGAATAAACAATTTCAAGAAGCATCAAATTTGTTGACAAATAAACGGGAAAAACTTGAAGAAATTGCTGAATTTATAGAACGTGATTTGGAACTTACGGGTGCAACTGCTATTGAAGATAAATTACAACGTGGTGTACCAGAAACTATAGATAAATTACGTTTGGCTGGAATCAAAGTTTGGATGTTAACTGGTGATAAACGTGAAACTGCTATAAATATTGGACATTCATGTTCAATTGTAAAAGATCATTCAATGATAATAAATATTGATAAGAATACTGACCTTATAACAATTGCAAATATATTGAAGGACAAAACAGCTCATATAGTAGTAGTTATAGATGGCGATGCATTAATGAAAATCGAACAAGATGCCGTAGTTCTGGAATCATTTTTAGATTTGTGTATCAAATGTGACGCGGTAATATGTTGTCGAGCGAGTCCATCACAAAAAGCACTCTTAGTTCGTAGCATTAGAGAAAAATTAAAAACTTCTGTTGTAACATTAGCAATTGGAGATGGTGCAAATGATATTGCAATGATACAAGAAGCGCATGTGGGAATAGGAATAACTGGTCGAGAAGGTCTACAAGCTGCCAGGTCAAGTGATTATTCGATTTCACAATTCCGATTCTTAGAAAATCTTTTGTTCGTTCATGGTCGATGGTCTTACATTCGAGTATCAAAATTTGCATTGGGAACACTGTATAAATGTATGTGCTTTTATTTGACGCAAGGGTTATTTCAATTATTTACAGCATTTTCTGGAACTAGTTTATACGAACAATGGTCACTTGCCTCGTATAATACTTTATTTACATCATTACCCGTAATGGTTATTGGAGTATTTGAAAAAGATTTGAATTACGATACATTAATTGCAATTCCAAGTCTTTATAAAATTGGACAAGAAAATAAAGAATTTAACCTTAAAATATTTTTTTCATGGATGATTGGAGCAATTTGTCACGCTATAGCTATAGTATCTGTACCAATATTATTACATGGATATTTCCAGGATTATGAAATTAGAATCGGTGGATCACCTCAAATATTTGAACTAGGAATGATTATTTATACATGTGTTGTATTTGTAGTAACAATTCACATTTCATATTTACAATCCCATAATTGGACCGGGTTTTCACATGTTACTTCATTTTTAATGATAGCTGGATGGTTTGCATTTCAAATTATGTATTCTTATGCATATCCGACTAATAACAATTCAACCATGTACGAAATTAGGGGTGTGTTTCAAAGAGTTGGGAATAAAGTTACCTTTTGGTCGGCAGTAACATTGACCGTGTCATTTGCCTTGATTCCACATTTTATTCTTAAAATATTTAAAAACTGGATTAAAACTACCGAGGTAGAGTTTTATCAGGAAGCTGAGAAAGATCCACAATACTTAAAAAAACTTATAGAATGTGAAAATATCGAGAGTGAAGATTTTTATAATGAGGAGAAAGATATTACAAAATTCGACGCTAGTCAAATTTTCAAATCATCGGAAGATCATAACTACTCAATTACCGCAAATTATCAAAATCTTTCTTCAACGACGATCGTTGATGATAATATTGATGGAAATATGACACGAATGGTTTTTTATGGGCGAAAAGGATGTCGAAAAATATAATTAATGGGTTTTTATAATTAATGGGTTTTGATTTTTTTTATGGGCGAAAAGGATGCCAAAAAAAATATAATTAATGGGTTTTGTTTTTTTACATCATTTAATATTTTTGAAATACTGTACGTGTTTGTGTATTTTTGTACAATTAATTTTGTATCATATTTGTAATGTAATTTATATAATCAAAACAAAAAAAGATTGTTGGGTTAAATAAGCATACGAGAATTTTTATAATAGATAACTTGTAAAAGATATACACCCATTGGATTATGGTTAATAAAATATTATTAAATAAGTCCATCCGAAAATTTTATAATAAATGATTTGTAATTTTTTTTTAAAAATTGACTCCGTCGGATTATGATTAATTTTGTAATACGAGTTTCTCAATATATGTTTTCAAACAGTCGGAATGATTATTTATTAGTTAAATGACTTTGTGATCATTACAAATGGATCAACATCATCCAATACTAATTACTATAAATTTAAGAACAATAAAAGATTAATAATACGTTAAAAAGTCCTATCAAGAAAGATTGTCATTTTCTTAATCCCTGAAAGATTACGTGATTCATCGCGTCATATGCTGTTAATCGAGATTCCGGATCCTTACAACATAAACCTGAGATAAATTCAACCGCACATTGAAGTAATTTATTTCTTCTTTAATAAAAGAATTAATAATACGTCAAAAAGTCCTATCAAGAAAGATTGTCATTTTCTTAATCCCTGAAAGATTACGTGATTCATCGCGTCATTTGCTGTTAATCGAGATTCCGGATCCTTACAACATAAACCTGAGATGAATTCAACCGCACATTGAAGATTCAATTCTAGTAATGGAGAGTAATTTATTTCTTCTTTAACAATCTTAGCAAGTACCAAATTTTCTTGAGCATCTTCTCCCATAAAAGGCATATTTCCCGTTAATGCATGATAATTAAGTACGCCAAAAGACCACATATCAACGGCGCAAGTGTAGTGACAACTTTTTTTATTGTTGATCAGTTCTTTGGCAATTTCATAAGGCATATACGCAGGTGTACCCGTTGCCGTGTATTCAATAGAATCGTCCGGTTGCTCAGTTTTAGTAAATGCTTTTGTTAAACCAAAATCAATAAGTTTGACCAGTTTATAAGATTTATCCTTAAACATAATATTTGAAGCTTTAATGTCTCGATGCATATAACCATTATCATGCATATATTGAATAGCATCGCAGATTTGATATGCCAAGCCAATCCAAACATCGAATTTTATCTCTCGTTCTTTATTAATAAAAGCTAATAAACTTCCACCTTTCATAAATTCTAAAATAACGATTGTATGTTCAGGACCTTTCCAGGAATCAAGAAATTCCACAATATTTGGGTGTTTTAATTTACTGATAATGGTTGCTTCTTCAGATATACGGCTATAAAAGTCTTGTGGCATATTTTCTCGAAACATATATTTACAAGCGACGGTGTCGTTGGTTAAGGTATTTAGTCCTTGCATAACTATTCCATGAGCACCCCTATCATAATAAATAAATATATATATATTTAAGAAAAAAAAACTATAATTAACCGGGTTATGGTTAACTAATCTTTTATAGATCAAGATTGGATATATTAACTATTATCCGTTATCTTTTAATCCCGGATAATTTTAGCAATATCCAAAAATAATATATTAATAACATAACAAAAAAAAATTTTTTTTTTTTTTTTTTTATCGTAATTTGGAATGTTTTAAGTATACACTTACTTTCCAAGATAATCTTCTGATCTTACTTCGTACTTATTATATAATGATGGTGGCATTCTAAACTTTCGATTTATTTTTTCACGAGCATCGTGATACTCATTATCAGTATATTTAATTACTACATATAAACAATACATATAAATATATTATTATTATTACTATTATTATTGATAAAAAGCTTGCATTAAAAGTTTTTTAAAAAAATTTCTTATATTACTTATTGGATTAGTAGGATGTTCACCAATTTTAATCGAATCTTGGCTGTGTAATTCCATCGAATTACCGAATCCAACTCTTCTACCATTAACAAAGGTCGTCGAATTGAGTGACATGTCCCGAACAAATGCCGTATGATTACATCCTTCCACTCTAGCATTTCTTTTCTAAAGAAAACAAAGTTGAATTAAGAAATTAAAAAACTTACAATTATAAATTAGCAATCGTACATTATGTTTAATAAATCTTAATATTACCACTATTACGAGTTGACAATGTAATGAACTAATTAAATAGCTTTCGTCAACAAAGAGTCTACCTTCTTTGCAACCGGAAAGTGTTCCAACACAAACGCTAGTTTTTGCTTCGCTCAAAGAAAAGATTTTAATTGGGATACACTCAATCCTGAATGTTGCAATAGGTACCGTACTTTTTGGTGGTGGCGCATTAACTCGTCGTTTGTGTTCAATATAATCTTGAGTAAAGTAATTCCTTGCTGGCCTACCCTAAATAAACATGTTTTTACGAGTAAAATTAAGCTTAAAGTAACTTTCTTCAACAACGTGTCGGTGAATTTCATTTTTATTTACCAATTTTTGTTTTTTAATTCTCATTTTGAAAGTTTGAATTACAGTAAGCAGAAACTGCGTAATTGTTCTTTATTTCAGTATTTAAATAGGCATAACTCCTGGATTCTTATTGGTCAGATCAAATAAATTATCGTTATCATACCCCCCCGTAGTTTTTACGTAGAACAATGGCCTCTCAATACATTAAAGGCATAGTGGCTGGAGGAATAACACTAGGATTCGGATATTTGTTAATGAAAGTTGTTACACCTACTAAAGAACAACTTTACGAGGTTTAATTTTTTTATTTTTATTTATGTTACAGGATTTGAAATTTGAACTAATTTACTTGACGAATTTACTATTTTACTACGACTTACGAATTAAAAAGAAATTATCACCAGACTTAAAACATCAAATTGGCTCTCGAGAACAACGCGAAAATAATGTAGCTATAATGGATTTAATGAAAAAAGTTGCAGAATCCGATAAACCAAGTTCGTTCATTCCGTTTCATTATTTTTATTTTATATGACTATATGTCTATTTGAATTCTTTTTAATTTTTACTCAATTGCAAGTATACGACTACTCTCAAATTCGAGAATTACAAAAGGAGTTAGATAAAAAATGAATTATCTATTTTTTTTTTTAGAGATATGTAGAATAAATATTTAAGATCAAAAGTTATGTATTTTAAATTACAAGAATTAATGAGTTCAAGATTTATTCACAACAGTTACCAAAACCAACATCATTATTTCTTATTCAATAATCTTTTAAAGCCACCTCAAATTTGAAGTGATCAATTCAATATTATTTTGAAACCAATCCCCAGGACTAATACTCATTCGGAAATCACTTCTCAATTGATTTTTAAATGTTTTCTTATATAACCATGATAAGGGCCATAAAATGATCCAAAGACATGTAATAATTGATATAAATTTTGCCCAAGGATTTCTTACAAAACGAGCAAACTTATGATCAGATTGAACTTTAACAATATGATTACGAAGTGGATAAGTGATACGAAGGTCATTACGAAATCCTTGTTGTCGAATTGTTGAAGAAATTGCTCTTGTTAAAGATTCATAATCCCAAATTACAATCTAGTTTAAATAAATTAATAATAATAATTTTTCGGAAAAAAAAAAAATAATAAATAAAAATAAATTATCATAATTATACCTTTCGCATCTCAATTTCTTTTAAAAGATTTTTGTGTTCAATATATTCCCTTAATACTTGCATAATCCCTTGTGGCGGGTGGTTTTTTTTCGGAATTGTGTATATCACCCCTGTAGGTAAAATATAATCTGAAAGGTCCAAAGTTAGCTTAAAATCAACAACTTCAACATTCGTTGATTGATCCGTCCGATGTGAATTCCCATCTGAATCAACAGTATAATAACTATCATCTCTCGATTCTGTATGGTATCCCTTTTTTTAAAAAAAAAAATGTGAAATTGGTTTGGTCGTTATTGTCGTTATTGTCGTTTGTAAAATTTTTAACCAAAAATAGATACGTATAAAATACCATAACAGTTATCGCCATTTGAGGTTTATCATTTCTCGCCATAAAAAATCTATATAATGAATCAACATCTGTATTCAATTTATGATCAAAAGAAGTAACACCTTCGGCACTGGTTTTATAAGATGCATCAGACAATGAATATTCAGGAGGTGGTGGTATCATTGCAGGTATAGATGTCCCAACTGATGATATAATTATTTCATTAGTAGACGAATTACAAGAATTAAT